ACAGGTGAGAAAGCATTGAGTCCCTCTCCAAAAGCGAGTGCATAAAATGTGTTTTTTACCAGTATCAATAACCATTTCCCCCCCGACAGTCTCACCGGCGCCAACACAACAAGGACAAGCCGTACAAGTGCAGCAACTGCAACAAAGGATACGTAGACGCAGCGAGCCTGGAGGTGCACATGTCCACACACACCGTGAAGCACGCCAGGATCTACTCCTGTGGGCTCTGCAACCGCACTTATACCTCAGTGAGTCAACTCATATTTCCTTTCTTTACCTCCTATATCATATTTGTACGAATAATATTCAAGTACAAGATGAAACGAAATAACACATGAAAGAGGGGAGTATTGTCCACTCCAAAATAAGGGTTTATATGTACCAACCAATTATTACAAATGATGATAATAAAAAGTGTGTCTCTGTGTGTGTGTATATCTCTGTGTGTGTGTGTGTGTCTGTTTGTGTCTCTGTGTGTGTGTGTATATCTCTGTGTGTGTGTGTGTGTCTGTTTGTGTCTCTGTGTGTGTGTATATCTCTGTGTGTGTGTGTGTGTCTGTTTGTGTCTCTCTGTGTGTGTGTGTATATATGTGTGTGTGTGTGTGTGTGTCTGTTTGTGTCTCTGTGTGTGTGTGTGTGTGTGTCTGTTTGTGTCTCTGTGTGTGTGTATATCTCTGTGTGTGTATATCTCTCTGTGTGTGTGTATATCTCTGTGTGTGTATATCTCTCTGTGTGTGTGTGTGTGTGCGTGTCTGTTTGTGTCTCTGTGTGTGTGTATATCTCTGTGTGTGTATATCTCTCTGTGTGTGTGTGTGTGTGTGTGTGTGTCTGTTTGTGTCTCTCTGTGTGTGTGTGTGTGTGTGTGTGTGTGTGTGTGTGTGTGTGTCTGTTTGTGTCTCTGTATGTGTGTATATATCTGTGTGTGTGTGTGTATGTTTGTATCTCTGTGTGTGTGTCTCTCTGTGTGTGTGTGTGAGTGTCTTTCTCTGTGTGTGTGTGTGTGTGTGTGTGTCTGTTTGTCTCTCTGTGTGTGTGTATATCTCTGTGTGTGTGTGTCTGTTTGTGTCTCTGTGTGTGTGTATATCTCTGTGTGTGTATATCTCTCTGTGTGTGTGTGTGTCTGTTTGTGTCTCTCTGTGTGTGTGTGTGTGTGTGTCTTTCTCTGTGTGTGTGTGTGTGTGTCTGTTTGTGTCTCTGTGTGTGTGTGTGTATATCTCTGTGTGTGTACATCTCTCTGTGTGTGTGTGTGTGTCTGTTTGTGTCTCTCTGTGTGTGTGTATATCTCTGTGTGTGTGTGTGTGTGTGTGTGTGTGTGTGTGTATGTGTCTTTCTCTCTGTGTGTGTGTGTGTGTGTGTGTCTGTTTGTGTCTCTGTGTGTGTGTATATCTCTGTGTGTGTGTGTGTGTGTCTGTTTGTGTCTCTGTGTGTGTGTATATCTCTGTGTGTGTGTGTGTGTCTGTTTGTGTCTCTGTGTGTGTGTATATCTCTGTGTGTGTGTCTCTCTGTGTGTGTGTATATCTCTGTGTGTGTGTGTGTGTGTGTGTGTGTGTGTGTGTCTTTCTCTGTGTGTGTGTGTGTGTGTGTGTGTCTGTTTGTCTCTCTGTGTGTGTGTATATCTCTGTGTGTGTGTGTCTGTTTGTGTCTCTGTGTGTGTGTATATCTCTGTGTGTGTATATCTCTCTGTGTGTGTGTGTGTCTGTTTGTGTCTCTCTGTGTGTGTGTGTGTGTGTGTCTTTCTCTGTGTGTGTGTGTGTGTGTGTGTGTCTGTTTGTGTCTCTGTGTGTGTGTGTGTATATCTCTGTGTGTGTACATCTCTCTGTGTGTGTGTGTGTGTCTGTTTGTGTCTCTCTGTGTGTGTGTATATCTCTGTGTGTGTGTGTGTGTGTGTGTGTGTGTGTGTGTGTGTATGTGTCTTTCTCTCTGTGTGTGTGTGTGTGTGTGTGTCTCTGTTTGTGTCTCTGTGTGTGTGTATATCTCTGTGTGTGTGTGTGTGTGGTCTGTTTGTGTCTCTG